TACATATGAGGAGGGGAGCCTTAGTTGTTCACCAGGGCGGGACCACCCAGGTCGCTGGTTTGTGAGGCTGTATGTGGGGGCAGGGTGAGAGAGGGAGCACTGGCGGTCCTCTCCACTCCCTCGGTCTGCCTCACCGCTTGCCCCGCCTGTTTATCTGAGCGCAAATGTGTTAGCCCACCACCCTGTGCAGGGGCCTGTGCGGTCCGTCTCAGTGCACGTCTCTTCACTGGTTTATCTGCACGCAAATGCACGACCACAGACAGACAGCCGAGCCTTCCTTGCATCTGCCTGTAGCTACCCCACACCTGGCATCCACGCACTCAGCTGCCTACGTACCACCTGGGTCGGGGGGATCTTTTTTGGCCGACCCACTCCGCTGCTGGCTTCGCCCCTCTCAACGGTTTAGCTGAGCGGTTTGTTGTTTTTGGACTCCATATTCTTCGATTTTCTGTGGTTTGGTTGCGTTTATTGTTGTTAAAACTTTGTTGTTTTTAGATTTGGTTGTGCGAGGAAGCAAAGTATTTCCACCTACACCTCCATCTTGGCGGAAGTCTAGAAACTTCACTTTTTTAATGACATAAAATTCTGTATTGTTTGAGAATTTCAAAATGACACGTGGTACTTTTAAAATGAAAAAAAAAAGAGTATAATTGAGCAATAACAAATCCAAGGCTTTTAAAATAGGAGGATAGAACCAGAAGGTCATGGTCTGTGTTTTTTTTTTATTCTGGTGGACCCTGAGAAATGTACCCATTTGTCTCCTGTGGCTCACAATTTCTTGACTCCCGAGTTACTAATTTACAAAAGGCACACATATGGAAAGGATAAATTTACCAAAATGAAAAAAAAAGTACCGCAGATCACATCCTCATGTCAAGGGAACTTATTTAGGAAGCACTAAAGAAGGAACTGCCCTGGAGCCCAAAATAATTGTCATTGATGCCTAGGGACGGCTCGTAGGGAGCAGGCTGACTGGCTGGACCCAATAATTACACAAGAGGAGCAGTGTTATGACACCCAGATCCTCGTCCATGATGCGATGCTGTACAAATACCACTGCCGAAAATTTTCTCAAATCAGTGTTCATTACAGTCCCCTGTCATGGCTGTGAAAGGCTGTGTTTTATTAATATGTTTATTTCCAGATAAAATCACAACATTTTATTTCAGATTTTATGTTACTGTCACAGCACCCAAAATGCCCCTTGGCATGGTCACTGTCTCTCGATGAGAACCAGTGGTAAGATACAGGAACCCGGGGGGACGCCACCCACTTGAAGGAAGTAGTACCGACTTCTGGATGTTGATTTTCTGAGGAAATAAACCTCTTCTGACATTTAAAAAAGAAGAAGAAGACAGAACAACTTTTTTAGCATTCATCTTTGCATAACAGATGAAGTTAGAGGGAGCAGTGATTTAAACACAGCAGCTGAGAACCATATCATCCCAGGGCACGAAAGCCATAGCCATTGTGCAAGAAAAACTATGCAGGTGGTGTCCAGGAAGAGGAGCCATACACAGATACAAAACCAAGTAAACTGCTGGCTGTCTTCTGGTCTGGGAGGGATGATAAGCAAAGCAGGAAAAACAAAGTAAAGAGGTGTATCTACTTGAATTTCCCAGGGTCTAACACTTTTCCTCATTACATCATGAAGAAAATAAGGAGGGATATTTGTCTTAAGTGGCTGTGCCACAAATGAGGAAGAACGCATCCAGAGCTAGGCTCATGCTGGGAACCCTCGCTCAGGAGTTGAATCGAAGGTTCACAGTTACCTTCGACAGACAATTACTGTTTTCCATGCATGAATCTCTTATCACAAATATCACTGACACACGAGATTAATGGACCCTGGCTGGCTCCCCCCACTTGCATTGGTGGGAATGCTTCTTGCAATGCGGTTTTTAACTATACGAAACAGAATGTTCTCTTAGATAGACAAACTTCCCCATTCTGTTGTTACGATAAGCAAAATGCTTAACTACCAAAAACTTTTCAGAAAAAAGAAGTGCACTGTGTGTGATGAGCACTCTGTGCAAGAGGAACAGCATTATCTCACTGCTCTAAGTTCTGGCTTCCTTCTACTTATCATGACTGTGACTGCACATGGTCCAATTCTATAAACAGTTTTAGAAAGTGTAAATGAAAACTTATTCCAAAAGTAAGATGGAAACTTACTTAAACCAATCAGAATTGTTTTTAGCAACTGATCGCCATATGAGATCTACCTTAGAAGAAACATTACTCTTAACTGTGAGTCCTGGGTGTCATTAAAAAATAAAAGTCCTCAGCAATCTTTAGGAGATTAGAGACTTTTAAGGCTTTAAATGGCAGAAAGAAAAATCAAAAACAGAACTGGAAGCTACCAGTAGGGCCTGCAGCTTTTCCCTCTGTTAGGATCTGCTAAGGTTCTGTCAAGTCATTAAAGAATGATGATAATGTTGGATGCCCTGCTCAGGTAGATTAAATCATCTGATATCTCTAATAGAGGAGATATGAAGATATATTAAAGTGGTGAAAATAATAATATGGAGAGCAGAGCAAAAGTAAAAAACATCTTGAGTTTCTGCTTTCTTGTTCTTTTTTGTGGAGGGTGGGGTACTTTCAGAACAGATACTGAATAGAAGCATGTGTGTGTGTGTGTTAGGGCTGGAGGTGGTAGAAAAAAAGCAAAAACACAGTTCTCTTTATTTTGTGATTAGCAATAGAGGAGGGATTTTGTTTGCGTGTTCCTGTTGCTTTGTGGCTCAGTATCTGTGAGATCTCTTCTTAGACAACCGAGGAGCTCATGTCTGCAGTTTCTGTAACTAGAACAGAAGATGGAGGGATATCCCCTCCATACAGTGAAGGCATTGTACGTCATGATATACCAGGGTACAAAATGATAACTCACACAGTTTTTACAACTCTATGTGATTTAGAACAACATTCTCGTCAGGCTGGGGAAGAAAGCACTGAGGCTTGAGTCAGATGCCGATGAATGGGGAACTGGGATTTCTGCGTGAGCAACAATGAGGGTGGCATGACTGAACGCTAGAAGGGAAAGACAGCTTTAAAGATATGAGGGACCAAAAGGGGTGGGTGGGGTGGGAGGAATGGGAGACGGGAGTCAGAAGGTACAAACTTCCAGTTATAGAGTAAGGAGGAATGGCTGTGTGGTGTACAGCACGGCAGCTGCAGTTCGGCGATTTTCAACCTTCTTTATCTCGTGGCACACATGAACTCATTACTAAAGTTCTGCGCCATGCCAAAAATATACCATATATTTGGCCGATATGACAAAAACTTAGGTATAACTTTGATTCATCCACACCAGACGGCTGTTGCTGTGTTGTCTACTGTCATTTTTTATTTGACAATTGATCTCAGGGAAGAGAGATCAGTGCCCCTGACTGAACCGTTAGGTACTACATGTTTTAAAAGTTCTTGCAGCACCCTGGTTGAAAATCATTGGTATAGTTAATAAGACTGTGTTGCATACTTGAAAGCTGCTAAGAGAGTGGATCATAAAGCTTTCATCACAAGGAAAAAAATTCTGTAACTATGCATGGTGACAGATGTTCACTAGACTTACAGTGGTGACCACTGTGCTATAAATGCCAATATCAAATGATTACGTTGTACACCTGAAACTAATACAGTGTTATACCTCAATTAAAAAAAGAGACTAAGAACACCTAAGCAGGATATTTGGTGATTTATTTTCACACACACACACATTCACTACATGCAAAGTGCTACTCTAAATATTTGAGCATAAAATAAAGCTCCGATAATGATGACCTGAATAATGTCCCTATTTGTATGGGCCTTATAATTCAATAGCAAATAAACCATAAAGACTCAAAAAGTCTAATTAAAGCACAAAAGTCACATGACCAAAATACTATGAAAGACAGTTTGTTATATTAGACAATTAATGATCAAATTAGTGTCCAGACCAGTGCTTATTAAATAAACCTGGCTGTGCCACTGAACTTATATAGAAAGGTTTTTAAAAATTAGATGCTTCAGCTCTACCCCAGGCCTCCTGAATTAAATTTCCAGGCCGGGCATGGAAGAATAAGGGATATAAAGTCAGAGAAGGGAGAGAAGTGTGGGGAGAGAAGACCTAGCATTTCGCAGTTCGTGAGATTCCCCAGACGGCTCAGCACAACCAAGGAGAGAAGTGTTCGGGAATCACTGCTGCAGGTCAGGATGGCATGACCGGCAAACATATTTCTAACAGGAAATGCAGCACAAAAACCAAATGGGCTTTCAGTTGTGTGGCAGATTTTCAGTGTTAACTCACACTCTCTCCACCTCCACAACGAGCTTGAGAAATACTAGTCTGGATCCTGAGAAGGGGATCACACAGCGAGGTTGAACGGCTTCCCAGAGGGGCAGCTTGCATTGAGTTTTAAAGGCAAGATCTTTCTCGCCCAATGTAGAAGAAGAGAAAATCTTGCCAGGAAAAAGGAACAGCGCATTTTCAGGAAAGTAAAACTGGGCTTGAAGCATGATGCATTGAAGAGGTGTTCAGAAGAAAGGGCTCGTGCAGGGGACTTGGGGGCTGCAGACAAAATCAGATTCCCTCCTAGGGTTCCACTGTATTTTTATTATGGAAAAATGCAAGTATCAAGTTGACGGCTTTATAAATCTTAACTCAATAAACTCTGTTACTTTTGTTTACTCAAGGCATTCAAAAAGTTTAGTTTCTTACTATTTTCATTATAATCTGCATATCTAGGATGGATTCTTGGCTGTGAATTTTTGCTTCTTTTAAATATTCTTTAAAGAAGGTTCTAGGTCCTTTAGTCTATTTTGTTCAACCCTTGTACGTAACGGAGAAAAGCCAGGAGTACAATGACCTGGTGCTGATGACGTAAAGTGTTTGCCCACAAGATGCCTTTGTTCAGAACGCCAGAAAGAAAGAGTAAATTTCCAAGATGATTATCATTGATACTGAAGATTTAAAAGTTCGAGCATATGCAAAGTGAACCGAATACCAGTATTACAGTTACCTGAGTGAGTGGTTCCTGGTAAGATCAGGTTGACGTTCCTGTAGAATTTCAAAAATATTGGGTTGGCGCAGAAATGCAACAATCTTGTCATTATAAGCTGAAAAATAAAAAAAAATATCAGATTAAAAAGTATCTGTTATCTTGATTATATGTATTTATAATCAGACATATAGATACATTTAAACCACAGAACCGAGCGTCTGAATTCTCAAACATTAGAAATCCTAGTTCAGTCAATGCTCTTGGGTTCACAAATATGATCAAGAAACATGCTGTCCTCAAACTAACCAGAGATCAAACAAAAGAAGCATAATTTTCTACACATTTGCTGGTTCACATTTGTGACATGCTGCTATATACACACACTTTAGTTAAAAAGAAATAAGAATTTTTTAAAAAAATTTGCTAATATGGAATCCCACTGTCAAATTCAAAATGTCCGTAACTGCACATTTCAGCATATATCAAAAATAAAACCACCTTGATGACTGAAATTTATCAATGGGTTTTTACCTTCCATTCAGGTTTAGAGACTAGGTAACTTTTTGAATAAAAATTTTAAAGTAGTTTAAAATTCAATGTGCCATGTTTAGTACCCTCTTAGTAATGGCATAATAAACACAGACCATTTCCTTTGACCCAAGGTCAAATCTCATGCAGTGGATGGCAAACTTCTTTAGGATATGGGCATTACATTATGTTTCATGGTCAAAATTTTCTTTGAAAAAATAGTAAAAATTTTAAAGACAAAAACCGACCAATGGAGAGCCACTCGAATGTAAGATGGGGCAGGGAGCCCACAGAGCCCCCAGCCTGTGGCCACTTCACCTGCCAAAGGGCCTCGGGTTTGACAACTGACCTACTTCAACTTCATCAGATTGTCAGGCCTATCTGCCCACATTTGTTTGTTTTGATTTTACAATTCTGCTGCAAAATATGCTACAAAAATCCCATCAGAATGTGCCGTCACTGCTTCCTTATTTTGCAAGGCTACTGCAGGCTCACACAGCATTGAAATACTTAATTTGAAATGACCACATAATAGAGCTGCCTTAACAAGTTATTATTCTTTAACTTCAACAATCTAACGTAACAGCTCTACTCAGAAAAGGTGGAATAGTATTAAAAAAATCTTTCTATAGGAGTTTATAAGACATAAGTACTTTAAGATCCAAATCAATTTCTTGGGGCTAAGAAGGGAACAGTTTCTCAGGCCAGGGCCAAAGCAGCAGGCTGATGATGGGGAAGGATTGGCAGCGAATGGCAGACGTGCAAAGCAGAGATAAGACTTTCCGGAAAGTGATGACATACCCACGGGAACCATGTCCTGGTACTGTGGCCGACTGACGGTGTTGAACGTGCTTGATGGCCTGGGAAGAACCGGTGGCCCTGCGTGTCGAGAATCTTCCCCTACCTGCAACACAAACATCACTTATGTTTTCCACCAAGGCCAGGAGTGCTTTATATCAGTACCCAAGTCAAGTCTTTCAAAATACCTGACAACAAGCATCAATAAGTTCCAACCAACCAGAACAGATGCCGGCAGAGGAGCTGACACAGGATTCTCAAAAGCTCCACTTAACTGCTGAATGGGGTGGGGGGAGGTATGGGGGCATCCAGACCCTTGACAGGGGCAGGGGCAGGGACAGGGGCAGTGACTATCTGCCAGATGGTATAGGAGTAGTTCCATATGCTCACAATTATTGGGGCTGTGGAAGCGAATGGCAGACCTGTTCCTCAGAAATAACTTCTGCCTTGACAGAACACAAATCTGCAACAATACACTCAGAGGAAAGACCTGGTGGTACAAAATACATGAGGGAAGTGCCAGGCTACACCTTCTTTTGGCTAAGGCTAGCTGAGGAACCCCCTGCCTCAGCAGAGGGATGGAAGGGCAGCAGTCTTCATGTGGGTTTCTCAGTGGGTATATTATCTCCTTTGAAGCAAATTTTCTTGCCTATTAGAGCACCCAGTACAACAGCCCATTCTGGTTTGAACCTCCCACACCAGGGAGCTAATCACAGCAGGTGTGGGGGAGCTAAACAGGGTTGTCCTGCCCTGAATTATTTATGGTGCCTATTACAGATTTAAAAACTCGTACCTCCAAGGAGACAAACAAAAATATTCCGACCAGAAAACTCTAACACTGCTTTAGTTTCTGTTTTAGCATCCTTCCCTTCTCCCCATACTACAGAAATCTTTTAATACATCAGTAGAACAGTAGAATAAGAGAGTATGAGCACTAAAGGCAAAATAATATACTGGGTTTATAAGTTTGTACTTTTAAAATAGAGCTTCTACCTTCCACCCATTCAAATCTTCACAACCATTTTACCTAAAGGCCCCCAAATTGGAAATGTCGTTCCCACCCTACACTGCTTGCTTATCCTTCAAAAATGCTTGCACTCATCCAAAGTGTAATTCAGGCAGGCCCTCCTTGGTGAAGACGTCCCTTCCCTTCATGCTGAGATTAAATGGGACCTCCCTGAGCTCCCCCAGCACCCAGTGTATGTTTCTAAAGCAGCTGCTGTTACTGACAGTTTATAAAGCATTTTTCACTTGTATGTTTCATCTGTATTATGGTTAGCTTCGTGCATTCTCTCCTGAATAAGAACACAGGCAGAAACATATGTTATTTGTATCATGCACAACAAACACCGTGTTGCTACACTGCAGGTGTTCAGTACATATTAATGTGTTGGAGGGAAGAGATACCAGAATTTCTACCACCTGGAGTATTTGCTAAATGCGTAGAGTGGCTGGAAAGACTCATTTGTGTCACCAAAAGTTTCTCACCCTGCTTCTCATGAGTTGTTGGCTCCGAGGAATGAAGCCAGCCACTGTCTGTGGAGATCCAATCACTAACTACCTCTTGTTAGGTTAGTCACAGACGTTATCATCGCGATACACCTACATACACTTTCCCTCCTGGCAGTACGCTGTTCTGCATCAGCGTTTCCCAGAACAGCCAAAGGTCATCTCGCTGACACCCCGCTTCTTCAGGCCAGACCACCAGACAGTGGACAAGCCCCGAAAGATGCGCAGACTGCTGCGGGACGTGCCTGCTTCCGACAGCCGTGCCAGGAAGCACACCCCCCTCAGAGGTTAACAGCACCAGCCCCAAATGCTCAGTCTTTATGGGATATCTCTCTTCCACTGCTCAGTTTCCATCGATACAATGAACTCTTCATTCAAACTGTAATGTGTACCTTAGCATCCCTCTCCCACAACAGGCTCCTGACTAGTAGATCATGAAAACAGTTCAAATTCTGAGGCAGAGAGTTGAAGGAAAATGTACATACAGTTATTAATCTCATGCATGTAGCCCTGACCAGACTGAACAGTCAGCTTCACATTGTGAGGTCAAGATAAGGCAGGTGGCTAAAGTGCATCGGCCCCGTGATAAAGTCAGGCAGGGCCCTGCCTATGCTACATGTCATGCGCACGGTCCAAAGGTGAGAGGTCTGTTCTGCTGTAAGGAGAAAGCTGTTAGCATCGCCCACTTCACCACAGTGGTTCACAGGACAGCAGGTAAGGATTTACTGGGGGCTCATAAAACACACATATTTTTGTGGATACCTCATCTTGCAGGTCTATATATCATTTTTATGTGAGCTTCTCATGTACACTCTTCTGTGTTTACACTTACGACCAGCAAACACACGTGGTGCATTAGAGCAAGCGTCTAAATGATGAGGGGAAATTCCCGGAGTGGGATTTTGACATATCAAATTCAGTTATTTACTGCAGTCATAATTTTTCTTATAATAGGAGCTACAAAAATATTTGACTGACTGTATAATACTGTATGTACATAGATGTGGGAAGGGCTTGCAGAAAAAGAATCTTAATGAAATATGCTAAGGGAATTATCAGAAACAATGTACATTAAGTGATGATATATATTCAAAGCATAAGTCCATATAAGGAGAAAAAATTGACCTAAATTGTTTCTTTTCTTTATTTGAGCCTTTAAAGAAAAAGGAAAACAGCAAGGGATTACTTCTTTTTTCTTCTGATTTTTGTTGTTGTTGCTATTATTGTTAAGCTATTAGAGAGCCCTCATGTGGTTACCACGGGTCACTGCAATCTAGCCATGGAGGGCACAATAGAGGTGTTAGTAATTCTTTACTAAATTTAGTTAATTCCACCTGTTTTATTGGCACTCAGAATACATAACTCAACTTTCAGATAGACCCTAATTTAAAAGAATACTAGCGAGAACACCACAATCCCATAGCCTTGGCCAAAGATTTTAATCTAATCCAGCAAGCCTCCCTTCAGAAACTTCTGTATTTTACAGAATTTTACCCACTAAAAGTTACATTCGTTTCTTCCTATGAAGCTGCTGTGAGGTGTGCAAAAAGGCTCATCATCCCCTCCTAAACATTTTATTACATCTTGAATTCTCCCTCACCATCTTCTAACTTTAAGAAAATCTCTAGTTTCTTCAATCTTTCCTCATATATCCTGCCTTTTAAATGTGCCATGTACACTACATGTGTTTCCAAGAAGTCCTGTCAACCTTCCAGTACTTTCCAGTCTCCAAATGATCATCTCTACATCCAACTAGAAAAACCAACCAATAACGAACAGCCAGCAGAACTGCACACACGAGCCCCATCCCTGCGGCTTCCGGCAGCCGCAGGTGAGCGGCCTGGCCGCCGGTGACTCACCTCGCCTGCACTGTGGCTGCGCTGCCTCGTCAGGTGCTGCCGATGGACCAGCGCGCTCGTGGGTCGACTGCTCTGAAGTGGGAGCCGGGGGTCGATGAAAGTGGTGGTGCGGGAGTTGTGGTCCACAAAAAATGCCTAGGGAACAACCCACTCAGTGGTCAATACATGTCAACACACTTGTCTTAGCAGACCCGTCATTTCACACATTCAGGGAAAGGCCCACCGCTGAGCAACAATCTCAGCTGCATTGTCTCCTAATTTTAAATTTTGGGGGGGATTTCTCCTTACCCCCCAGGAAAGATCCAGGTAGAGAAAGCCATGCTTAAACTGGGTCCAGAACGAAGAGAGCAGGAAGGAACATTATCTTGGTTTTTAGGAAATACTCTTAAGAGAGAGCCATCAAAGATATGATCTCAGAAGTCATATGAGTGGCTATTCGGGCTTCTCTTAACTGATGCTCTTTAAGCTCATACTGCTATGTACAAACAATTATTTCAAAGTCCTGACCACCTGACACTTCAAACATCATTAACTTCTCTCTTCCTTCTCCTGGGCAGTCAGTCACCCACCAAATCCTCCTCATTGTCCCAATGTAGTGGCTCGTCCTTATGCCCCGTCCCAGCCTGACTTCCACCCCATTACTTCAGGGCTTTCTCTTAAGCATGTAAGTATTAACAGCTTCTCAGGGGTTCCACATCTGTACCCTTACTCATTTAACTGACACCTCAGCACCACAATTATTCTTTCTACATGCTTTGATTGCATCACCGCTCGAAACCAAAGCCTCTACTGGCTCCCCATTATCTACAGAAAAAACAGTCCACACTTAGGTCAGTTTTTCAAGACTTTAAAATCCCCTTCCTTCCTGCCTTCCACTTTAGTCATCAATCACACATTCATACACATTTTATCAGCTGCAATGACCCTGGTCAAGCCACTTACATGCTCTCTATAGATTTCTTATATAAACATGTCTCCTCTTTCACAATAACCATTTCTTCCCCCATCATGTAATAAGATAAAGAAAAACATGGCTATTGTGTTCACTGCAAAATCCCTGGTGACATGAAGTCATGAATGAGCATAAGCCACTTCCCTCGGAGCTGCGGTAAGGATTGTACACAATGTAGAGAAGCCTTCTTTCTAATTCTTTTTAGTTAATCCTAAAGCTCTACAGGAGGGCTATTTACCATTATCTTTAGGAGTTCAATGGTGTAAGTTTTCAAAGTAAAATTCACTGAAGGAAATAATGAAGCCCATCATCTCAAGGACAATTAGAAAATACAAGTTTTCCATGATCAGATAAAGTTAATTAGGCCATCAAAGATCAAAGGGACTAATAGGAGAGCCAGGAGACTCATTACCTATAAATCAAGTATCCGGGCACATGATACAGGCCAAGGAGCCTAAGAAAAAAAGAACCAACTTCTCAAACCGGTGGGGTTTAGTTAACAAAAAGTACCTTAAACACTAGGAATGAATACATCTAGGCAAATCCTAGGCGCAGATGGTGTGTTTATGCCTATCAAAAAGAACCCCTCCCGTCATGAAACAAAATGTTTCTGCATATACAGGATCGGAAAATGGGGAAAATAATGTGTAGGTAGTTCCCAAATAGGAAAAACTGACTTCTCTGTAAAGAAGTAACTTTGAGCAGTAGGTGCACGAGAAAACAAAGCTGAGAAATAGACAGAATGGGAAGCCTTGCCAGTGCTCGCTCTCAAGGTCCAACTGCCGGGAAACAAAGGCTGGATAAATGGATGTCTCGTAGGAGACGGGGTCGTCAGCTTCATATCCCTGGGTAATGCTCTTTTTATATTAATCTGTCAGGTGGAACACCTTTCTTCTCTGGTCTTGTGAAAACACACACTAAAGATAAACCTTACTTACACAGTCTTGTATTGGCAGACTCCGGTCCAAATGTCACAACTGGTCCCCAGTTGATTTGGGTTTCTGATACACATGTATATCATTTCTGCCACTATACAAGATGTCATAAAATGGGAACTAAATTATATTTTACAAATGGACACTTCTAAATAGTATTATAGTCAACTATATATTTACTTTATGCAAATTTAGATTAAGCTTTTAGTACTAAAACAATAACATAAACCATGTTGTTTAAGAGAAAACTATAAGGAGTACTAAAATAGAATTGCCTATTCACTCTGCCTAATTTCTCGGGAATGTTTTGCAGGAGTGGGTGGTTGTTTAGAGGTAACCGTGATGCACCTGTAATTATAAGGACAAATGGGTGTGCACATCTAGGCCAGCTGTGATTCACGGGCAATGTCACAGTCTAATTTGATGTTAAGAGGCTTCTCTAAAATCCATTCTCTGAAGAATTGCACTGTAAATGCCTTGAGGGCAGGGACTCTTTCTTACTCACTGTTATCAACAGAAGTTTTTAGGGCTGCATCTCGGGGAGTGCTCAGTAAATAATAAATTGCCAAAAAATTCTAATATGTAGACTCCTGACCAAAATACAGAAAGACAACTCACACTGAATCAATCAAGTATTAAAAGTCACATTCTTTTACTAAGTATAAAAATACTTAAAGATTTGAAAGGAATAAATGAGGGCGTATGTGTGTGCTGAGTGAAAAGGGTAAAGCGCTAAAGACTATAAAACCACAAATGAGACAGAAGGTTTTACAACATCTCATTGCAGACATGCATCAATTACCAAGCTTAAACTTGAGACGTGGAAAGCAAAGTACTGATTAAATGCTGGGATCTGGGAAGACAAGTCCGCTTCTGAGCTCCAGCTCCACCACTTACTTACAGGTATAACCTTAGGCAAAACTTGACTTTTTTAAACAGCAATTTCTTGTCTGTTATATGGGGATAAAAACACCTACATCAAAGAAAGGTTGCATAAGATGGTTCATATACATTTTTTAAGATACTGCCTCTGATCCCTAATGCAAGTTACTATTTTTATTACTAATAATAGTTTCAACTTTTAAGATATTTTTCTAAGAATCACAATGTTTCTTGCTATAGTCCTTATAGAAGGCTCAAAAAAGTGAAGAACCAGTGAAACTAGGCTTCCCAGGCTCCTTGGACGTATGTGTTACCCAGATGAGGTCATAGGTAATGAGATATAAACAGTGTTACATGGTTAGTCTGCAAATCCTCCTTATTCAAGGCAATTTTATAAGGTCCTGCTCTGTCCTTCATACATTCTGCTCCCTGAAACAAAGGATGTAATTGCCAGTGCTCCAGCAGCCACGTTGAGCCATGAAGATGAAACATAGCTGAGCAAAAAGCTGGAAGGAGCCTGGGCTCTCACTACATGAGGAACCACCTTAAAAGCGCTAGGCTTTCTATCTCTGAACTTCTTGATGCGACAGAATAAAATCCTGTATGTTAAACCTCATATGGGTCTCTGATATCACCCGAACCCTAACTGACACACTGAATGAAGCGTCAGCACTGCAGAGGAAACAGTCTTCCTAAAACGGAAAGCAGAAAACACATAAGCCAGCAACTACCATTTTAAGTAAGGATTTCCATTATTTGGTAAATGATGCTATCTCATTATTAGTCACTTTTAACACAGTTAGGTAACAGCTCCCGATTTAAGTGATATGTGTATTTGGGAACCTCTAGCTGGGATTTGAACCCGTCTTTCCATCTCACTCCAAAGCCCAATGAGCTGCTCCTATTTATTTAGCCTCTCTCTCCTTTTCATATATCTCCTCTTTCCATTCTGCATCCTGCCTTCTGTCTTCACTCTTTTATGTTCCTCTCACTCCCTTGACACCTCATAGTGCTTCATTCTGGAAAAGCACTGAAGTGTTTTTTTGCATGAGGCAGACAATGAGAGCCGCTCACGGCACTGGGCCTTACTACAGTTTCAACACCGAAAAGTCTGCTACCGAGCCAGACAGCAAACTATGTACACACACGATTCAGTCGCTAACCTGCTGGAGGCGCGGCTGTGAGTGGGGAGTAGGTGCTGTTTGCATCCCAGAGGAGGTCAGTGTCAGAGGCAAGTGGAATGTGTATATTGTTTGCACCTGCTTTTTAAGTCTGCCAAGCACTTGGGAGAAAGGTCTTGATTCAGACCTCTATGGAACCCACACAGCCAGAGCACTAGCAGAACATGGCACAAAGGAGCAACTCCTCGGCCAGCATTTTGGCTTTGTCCCGCCCACCGTGTGACCTCAGACAGGTGTCCTCGGCGCTCCGCTTCATCCCAGTAAAGGGAACTATTCAGGTCACCGATAAGCTGTGAAAAATGTATTCTCCTTTAAAGTGGAGAGGAAAGCATTGAGAAATTACTGTGCAAATTTTAGGCCTGCCGTTTCTATTTCTGACGCACAAATCAATTATGTCCGGAAAGTAGATCAGTTTCCCACAGGACGTTCTAACTAGTTCAAGCCGGTAATGAAGCTGGCCTCGTCCTTTTTATTTTTTCCCCCAATGTGGGTCACATTCTATGTCACCATTTTTAATACCCCAACTTTATTTATGAAAGTATCCAACATGTATTAATAAAACTGTCTTGATAAACAGCATGTGGAGAATGTAGAATCCATGATAAAAGCAACCACAAATTGCTTAGCGACTAGCAAATTTTGTTGTTCAAAATTTGAACAACATAGATTCCCTACTGTTAACTTTCATTAAGGAAATCCACTGAAGCTTCACAGTGCTGGACCAACTAAGACTAACGACATAGTTAAAAACTGAAAGGAATGCAAATACACAAACTTAAATCCCATTTTAAAACTTCTACCCTTTCACTGCTTCCGGGCACGATCACGGTCAGGAAACACGGGCTGGTTGGAGCCAAGTGGTATGTTAGTGAGGCCAAACAAAATACACTTCTCTCTTTACACAATTCTTTTTTTAAAGCTTCTATTATTTTAAGAAAAAAAAAAAGGCCATCAATATTTGTGAAGAAATACCAGCCTCAAGCTCAACAAATCTAAGTTACAGGAGTTTGAAATTTTTTCCAGTTAACATTCTGCCAAACCAGAAATCTATAATAAATGACCGTGTAAACAAAATAAAGCAAAAAGTACTTTTAGCTATGCTACAGAAAGATGAACATCAGTTCTTCTATCTTTCCTTCTCTAAAGGTCTATGGAAACAATGAAAGAACAACAACTCATGAGTTA